ATAACAACAATTACTAACAAGTAATAATTATCACATTAAAGCTACCAAACCGACCAATACATGCGGCAGCCGCATATGGCTTCAAAATTCTTAATTTTTAAATTTCTCATCTTCACTTTATTAATATAATAATTATTATTATTGAGTTTCTATCTAATTATAAAGAAATTACTACATAGATATACCAATACATATACAAAGATGAGAATTTTAATTAAAACCTTACCTGAACAATCTTTATTAATTGCTTTATTCTTTTCCATTTTAGTTTTGATAGTGGGATGCCGCATGAACTCGTGCAAACTGCAAAGAGTGAAATGGAATGAAAAAAATGTATTAATCCCTATTTTACTCTAATTGATTTTATTATTTTACGAAAATTTCAAAAACGACCTTCCGGATCATTACGTTAGCAACCACAAAACATCATGCTCGTCCTCGAACATAAGGTGAAAGAAAGTACCTGAAGCTTCAAAAAGCTAAGGATATGTAGCACGCATGTCAGACTACGTCTCCCAGGTCGCCTCTCCAGCTGAACGGTTCTTCCACTGCACCTTTACTGAAGAAATCTCTTTGGTTCTAAGCTTTCGAACTTGCCTATCTAATATAGCTATAGGCTCCTCCTCGAATGTCAAGTCTGGACGTAACTCCTCTAAATTGAGTGAAAGTACATGAGATTCATCCGGAATATACATTCGAACATGGAAACATGAAAAACAGGATGAACTGCCAACAAACTAGGTGGCAAGGCTAATTTATATGGCACCTCTCCCACTCGACTCAAAATCTCAAAAGGTCCAATGAATCTAGGGCTAAGTTTTTCCTTCTTCCCGAACCTCATCACACCCTTCATGACTGATACTCGGAGCCAAACATGATCACCCGTCATAAACTATAAGGCTCTAACTCTTCGGTTTGCATAACTCTTCTGTCGACTCTGGGCTGTCAACAGTTTACACTGAATCATACGAACCTGCTCTATAGCATCTCTAAGCAAGTCTGTATCCAAAGAGTCCATCTCCACCAAATCAAATCAATCAATCGGAGATCTACACCGTCTGCCATACAACGCCTCAAGTGGGGCCATCTGAATACTGGAGTGATAACTATTATTGTAGGCAAACTCTGTTAAGGGCAAATGTCGATCCCATCTAGCACCAAAATCGATCACACAAGCTCGAAGTATGTCTTCCAACACCTGAATCTCTGCCCGGATTGACCATTTGTCTTAGGGTGAAAAGTTGTACTCATATCTAACTGAGTACCCAAAACATATTGTAATGCTTTCTAAAAATGGGAAGAGAATAATTAACCTATATCAGATATAATAGAAATCTGAACCCCATGTAGTCGCACAATCTGACTGATATACAGCTCGACTAACTTCTCCGTCGTATACTTCACCCATACCCGAATAAGGTGGGCAAACTTGGTCAGCCTGTCAACAATAACCCAAATGGATTCATAACCACCCACTATGGTAGGTAAACCCACAACAAAGTCTGTAGTGATCCGCTCCCACTTCCAAGTAGGAATAGGCATCCTCTGAGATATACTCCCTGGGCAGCTGGTGCTCACACTTGACTTGTTGGCAAGTCAAACACCTAGAAACAAAGTCTAAAATATCCCTCTTCATGCCACACAGGGATCTTCTCGACTAAAGAAGATCAAACATCAATAAAAAAAATCATACCATCACTATCCTCTGAAATCTGCAACTGGCACTACACTATTTTAGGCCTAAGACAACACTAAATCTGGACAACACTTGTAAAGTGTTGCCTAAAACATTTTTGGCTACGCTTTTAAAGCATATCCTTAGTTTTTACCATTTGGCTACGGTAATTTTGGCAACACTTATAAAACGTTCTCTTTAGTAGTATAGGCTACACTTTATAAGTGTTTACACATCATGATATAATTAGCAATGCATATTTATACATATGACTACGCTTTTAAAGTGTGATATTTTTATAATTCTTAAAACAACACTTTACAAGTGTGGCCTTATAATTTTCCTATATTTTTCACCAAAATAATGTATTCCCCCCAATATATTTAACTCTCCCTCCAATTTCTAATTGGCAAAAAATAAGGGATAGTGTATTAAAAGTGACAAAGTAGTTTGTTAATTAGGTAGGAGTCCTCCAAGTTTTAAATATTAGGTAGAAGTGACAAATATATAATTAATATTAATGAAATTAAAAAATCTTTCCTCAACAGCCCCAAACTTTTAAATTTTACACTTTTACCCTATATTTTTTACCTCAAAATACCTAAAATTTCACTAAAATATATGAGAAGAAAAAAGGCGGTACTTTTTTCTCACCTGCAACGTCTTCAACAACGAGCCTGAAGGACAACTACCAAGTCTTCAACGAGGCTGAAGTATGCTTCTCAGTTCCCTTCTTCTTCTTTTTCTTCATCCTCATCATTCTTAATTTGTAAGCATATATGTGGTTTATGAGAAGATCTATCAAGAAAATTTTGTGAAAATGGATACCAAAATTTTTTGAACTTTTTGCATTGCATTGGTTCCGTTTGATCTTGAAATTAACTCAAAAGAGAATTATTGATAAGTATAAAAATTACTTTGTGTCCATTCTTCAGCTAGGTTTATTAAATCTAATTTGATTATTTCAGCCAACAACTTTCGTAGTTGTCTGGACAACTGCTGAAATTGTTTGTAGAAATAAATAAACATCTCTGTCAGATATAGAAATTGTCTAACAACAGTCTGTAGCTATCGGACGATTATAGAAGTTGTCCAACAACTGTCTGTAGTTATCGGACGATTATAGAAGTTGTCCCAACAACTACTGCAGTTGTTTGACAGTTGTGTTCAGTTGTTGGTCAACGGATTAGTTTTTAGGACAAGTAATATAATTGTGGACAAAGTATTAATTGTTGAAATAAATAATTGAAGAATTATAGCAGTCTCCAAAGCTACTAAACTTTTATGCCAATTGTTGATAGTTGTGAGGTAACTAAATAGATGTAAAACAAGCAATCAATGTTCTTTTGCAATTTTGCAGTTCTTTGATGAATGTCTTACCTGTGATGTCTCCAGGTATTGTTTTCCTTTATGGAAGACCATATAATAACAGGAGTTGATTTACATGGTGAATGGGTGGAGAATCCTACTCGTTATACTTGGCGTTCGAAGGGCCGAGAGACAGTACCGATAAAGATAAGCGAGAATGTTACGTACGATGAATTGGTTGACATCATTGTTTCTAGGTTTGAATTAGATTGTGATAAAAATGATCTCTCTATTAGTTACATGCTTGGCTTTATTGAAAAGAAAAAAGGAGCTCCTTCTAGGATAAGAAACGATCTTGATTTGCGATTTTTTTTGGATGATCAAAGTAGGCCAATTTTAAGGATATCTGTGGTTGAGAAGATTATAGAGACTACAAATTCAGTTGTAAATGATGAAGAGCATTCTGTTACAATGGATATTCCTATAAATAAGGAAGCTTCACTACATTCGATATCAACACAAGGTAGCCGCTACACAGATGATGACGGCACAGATTTTTATAAAGGTAAAATTTTCAAGGACAAGCAAGAATTAACTAAATTGTTGAAGCTTGCTTCCATGAAGAAAGATCAAACATTCAAAGCTGTGAAGAGTTCTAAAGATGTGTATTGTGCTAGATGTGTAGATCAGAATTGTGATTGGTGGTTGCGAGCTACAAAACTTAAAAGTTGTAATAGATTTGAAATTACAAAGTATCGCAACATTCACTCATGTGGGACACAACACCTTACAAGTCATCATCCACATGCCTCAATAGATGTCATTGCAGAATACATACAACCTAATTACTTGAATGGAAAAGGTCCCTCCACAAAAGACATAAAAAATATAGTGCAAGCAGATTTGGGCTGCAAGATTAGTTACTGGAAGTGTTGGAAAAGCAGTGAGATAGCAAATGCTATGATAAGAGGGACACCGGAGCACGGATATGCAGTTCTAGATGGTTATCGTCATATGCTTATGACTATAAATGAAGGAAGCAAGACATCGTTAAAGCTTAATGACAAGGGAAGGTTCAAATATTTTTTTGCATCTTATGGAGCTTGGATTAGGGGGTTTGTGCATATGAGAAAAGTTTTAGCCATTGATGGAACATTCTTAAGAGGTCGTTACGATGGAGTTTTGTTGTCTGCTGTCGCACAGGATACAAAAAATCATGTTTTTCCTATTGCATTTTGTGTAGTAGATAAGGAATGTGATGCCGCATATGAGTACTTTTTTGAGAAATTGTTGGACATAGTCCCTGATACTTCAGAGTTGTGCATTATTTCTGATAGACATCCAAGCATAGAAAAAACACTATCAAAATTTTACTCTGAAGCATACCATGGATGTTGCACGAGGCATCTTGGTGAAAATGCCCGTAAAATTTTTCATTGTGGAGCTTTTCTTGGACATTATTACCATGCAACAAAAGCATATCGGAGAGATGTGTTCCATGACCATTTTGAACAAATTCGAATTATCAATGTGGAGGTTGCTGATTATCTTGAGAATGTTGGGTTTCACAAATGGAGTAGAGCATATTTTCCAGGAAACAGGTAAACTTTCTTACTAGTTCAAACATAAATATTGCAGGTCTCTAACAATTGTTGTAGTTGTTGAAATAATTAGTATAGTTGTTCGAACAATTATTGTAGTTGTTGGGACAATTATTATAATCGTTGGAACAATTATTATAGTTGTTGGACAACTTTCATAGTTGTTTCAACAGCTGCAGAAGTTGTGGGACATTAAAAACAGTTGTTTTCAAAACTACAATAGTTATTAAAAATCTGCAATAGTTTGTATTTTAATTTTTGATAATTTTTGAATTTTTATATTTCAGATATGATGTATTGACCTCAAATATTGCTGAGTCTGTTAATGCAATGTTCAATGAAGCAAAATAATTTCCATTATTGCCTTGTTCAATGATATAAGCAAGAGATGGTCGGAAAAATTTCATGAGAGAAGAATGGCATACGCCAAGTTAAAAACCACCTTCGTTCCTTCAGCTGAAACTAAAATAATGGCTAATAAGAATCTGGGAAATAAATTATTGGTCCATCAAATTGATGAAGACACCTTCAGCGTCACCGCGAACAATGGAATCGCAATGGTCCATCTTCGAAGTAAAATATGTTTGTGTCGAGAGTTTGACTTGGATAAAATACCTTGTCAACATGCTATGGTTGCGCTCAGACACAAATTTGGAGATGAATATGGCAAGATGATTTATGAGTACTCTTCTCCGTATTATAAGGTAGAGTCATATATACTTGCATATGCAGATCCAATCTATCCAGTGCCAGCTGAAGAATTTTGGAATCTTCCTCTGGAAATTTTAGAGAGAGTAATACCTCCACCTGAAAAGAAAACTAAACTGGGAAGGAAGCGGCTGAAACGAGTACCTACTATAGGAGAAGTGGTTTCAAAGAAAAGAAATAAATGCTCTCTATGTAAAATATTTGGCCACAAAAAAATTTCATGTCCTACGAGATCGAATGAAGTTGCAGGAACAGGTAATGGTGTAGTTTCATGAGTTATTATCGTATGCATAACATGTATTTACAGATGCTATGATTAGTTCAAACAATTATGTAGTTAAGATTTTTATTAGATGTATACCAACAACTTCAAAAGTTGTTGGACAACGGATACAGTTGAAGGGGTCAAGTTTTTCAATTAACTGCACATTATTAAACAACTGCTTTAGTTTTTCCAACAACTTTTTAATTGTCCAACGTCTTCTCACAGTTGTCCAACAACTTCGCATAGTTGTCTAACAACTCTAATAGTTGTTGGGACAATTTTTATAATTATTAAAATTACTTCGCATTGATATTGAAGATCAGTAGAGTTATTTTGTGAATTATTAAGTATAAACTAAGTCGTTTAACAATAATTGAAGATCGATCGAGTTATTTTGTGAATTATTAAGTATAAACTAAGTCGTTTAACAATAATTGAAGATTGATCGAGTTGTTTTGTGAATTATTAGTTTAAACTAAGTCATTTAGTAAAAATTAAAGATCAATCGAGTTATTTTGTGAATTATTAAGTATAAACTAAGTAATTTAACAACAATTGAAGATCGATCGAGTTATTTTGTCAATTATTAAGTATAAACTAAGTAATTTAACAATAATTGAAGATCGATCGAGTTATTTTGTGAATTATTAAGTATAAACTAAGTCGTTTAACAATAATTGAAGATCGATCGAGTTATTTTGTGAATTATTAGTATAAACTAAGTCGTTTAGTAAAAATTAAAGATCAATCGAGTTATTTTGTGAATTATTAAGTATAAACTAAGTAATTTAACAATAATTGAAGATCGATCGAGTTATTTTGTGAATTATTAAGTATAAACTAAGTCGTTAGTAAAAAATAAAGATCAATCGAGTTATTTTGTGAATTACTAAGTATAAACTAAGTAATTTAACAATAATTGAAGATCGATCGAGTTATTTTGTGAATTATTAAGTATAAACTAAGTCGTTTAACAATAATTGAAGATCGATCGAGTTATTTTGTGAATTATTAAGTATAAACTAAGTCATTTAACAATAATTGAAGATCGATCGAGTTATTTTGTGAATTATTAGTATAAACTAAGTCGTTTAGTAAAAATTAAAGATCAATCGAGTTATTTTGTGAATTATTAAGTATAAACTAAGTAATTTAACAATAATTGAAGATCGATCGAGTTATTTTGTGGATTATTAAGTATAAACTAAGTCGTTTAGTAAAAATTAAAGATCGATCGAGTTATTTTGTGAATTATTAAGTATAAACTACGTAATTTTGTGCAAAACAACTAAAGAATTAGAGGAACAACTAAACCAGTTGCAGGAACAACTAAACTAGTTGTAGAAACAATTGAACCAGTTGTACGAACAACTGAAGTAGTTGTTGGAACAATTGAACCAGTTGTACGAACAACTGAAGCACTTACAGGGACGATTGAAGCAGTTGTAGAGACAATTAAAGTAGTTGATAACAAAAACACAAAATACTGAAATAATTACATAAAAAACTAACACAATAATTTCATTGATCCAAATGTTTTGTCAATGAAGTGCAAAATCAACTTTGTACACAACTACTCTCTCAAGGAATTAATTCCTTCTCAAGCACCGCAACAACATATTTCATCCTAAAATTATCCACCTCATTGTCGTTAAGGCAACTCATATCTATCCCAGTAAGCAAGTGATCAATAAAAACACAGGCATATGGTCCACATGCCGCACGAGAATTGTTACTTGGCACATTCTTTAGACGCTCATATGACCATGCATCATTCAAAAAAAATTCAGACAAATGATTGAACATCCCGCTTTGCTTGAGTAGTTTGGGCCACAATTCGAGAATGGGCTGAATCAATGTAAGAAAAGTTGGCTCATCACACATATGAATATTGCAATCATAAACTTGAATCAAGCCCTTCTCCATAAAAAAATTCAAGTGCAATAAAGTGTGTATTCTTTATGTTCATCACGGTGTAAATTCTTTTTGCTCCATTCCACTTTCGGCCATATGGATAGGGAATTTCACCCTTACAGTACTTGAGTATGTCACCGTCCATCTCAAACGATGTGAGTGCCTCATGCATTGGTGGAGCATCATCCACTAAACTCTTCTCTCTCAAGTTGTTGTACTAATCATACAAGGTGTTGTAGAAATTTAGATCTAAAATAAGATCTGTTTGGTCATAGTGCTTGGGATACCAAATCTGTCTCTTGCGCATAAGGGACAAGATCTCATCAACATGCTGCCAAAATAAAGTTGAGAGTCAATTCAATATCAATAAATTATTGTATAAATTAAAAATATAGTAGTATTTACCTTGCACTCGAACAAAAAATATGGATCAGTCATGCTCACCAAGTCCTGATAATTAAATCTACCATTCAAATGCATTTTTCTTTCCTCTTCCTTTTTGCTAATGAAGACACTAAAGATCTCTCTTTTCTCCACATCAAGAGGTTTGTACAAATTCACTTCCAATCTACTCTTCATTGCATATTTGGCTTTGGAAATCATGGCCAACCTTCTTTTTAACGCAGGAGTATAAGGAGATTTTCTTGCATAGCTCGGATATATAGTCCTCTTTGATTGCTGCCCATCTAACTTTGTTGACAAAGATTTTACTTCATTCAAAATAGTTTCATACTTATCACAACATGTTTCACATTTACAGCAACAATCAATATTGAAGGCATTCACATTTGTTGTTTTTATCACACCAGGGGTATCTTCTCCCCTACCAAGATTAGCTAAATATGATTCATCTCTTCCTAGTCCACCAAAAGATCTACAAGTATCTAAAGCAATCTGGCCATCACCATCTCTCTCAACTCCATAATTTCTCGCAACACTATTCTCTCCACCAGTTATCTCAAGACCTTCTTCAACAACAGTTATATTCAGTTTTATAGCTGTTACAAGTGCCAACTCTTCTTTTAAAGCATCAATTTTTGGATCCGAACTATCTTCATATGACTCAATATCTTGAACATAAATTTGTTCCTTCTCTATGTTTGTTGGAAAAAGAAAAGGGTGAACAACCTGATTTTGCATCTGCATTTAAAAAAAAAAAGTTATCCATAATTTAAAAACAACTGAATCAGTTGTCCAATTACAAGTTCAGTAATATGTGATTGTGGAAATCACTTTATTGTTGTTGGACAACTAAAGTAGTTGTGGAAACAAGTTTAGTTGTCTTATAATTACAGTAGTATTTCAATATTGCATAACACAATTAATATTATATAGATATATAATATTTTTAAAATAACTAATTTAGTTGTACAATAATAGTTAAGTTATATGTTTACAACTTTTACTGTTGTTGGACAACTTGAATAGTTGACGGAACAACAAGTTCAGTTGTCCAATAATTACACTACTTGTTTAACTTTTGCATAACACAACTACTAATATTATGTAGATATAATCTTACTTGTTCTTTTGTCTGATAAATAGGATCAATATTTGTCTTGTAAGCAGGTGTTCCAGCCATCCATTTAATCATTCTTGGAATTGATTTTTCAGGTGAAGAATCCTTGGCCAATCGTTGAAGTGCCGGAATAGCTTCAAACACCCAAGCCTACAATATAATATTAAAAATAGCTTAGTATAGATAATAAAGTCAAATAATAATTTAACTAAAAATTATAAAATAAAAACATCAATTTAATTACTTACGGCGAACGCCCACGGACATCCATAAAGATTATACTGAGATTTTGTTGAATCTAGCTCTTTCAAAAGATAGCTAATGATAAGATCAAAGCTAACTCGACCCCATGGATATGAATTGAACACACTTTTTTTGGACGCCATCTTTAGCCAATGAGTTTCTATCTTCTTTTCTGCACTTTTTGAACACAATACACAATGCAAAAACCAAACCATACTAATAGCAAGCTTTTGCTTTTTGGTTAAGCATGGATCACTCATCTTTTCTATGAGTACAACAGCATTTGCAGATTGACCCACCAGATCAACCAAAATTTCACCTTCTTTTCCAATTTTCGCTAATTGTTGACTTAGAGGAGGTAGGGAATGACACCGAAGTCCAGTCATAATAGCGAAATCATTAATGCCAAAACAAAGAGGCAAACCATTATAATCAATCCAAACCTCTTTTTTTCTTTTCAGAAAATATACGACGAAGACAAAGGCCATGTACTAACTTCATTGGAAGTTGTACTGCTACAGATTGATCCAACTTCAAAAAGTGACCAAAACAAGATTTTTTAAAATCATTTTCAATATTTTGTACGATTAAAATCTTTCTAAACTCAACAAATTGAGCTCCAAAACCAACTCTCGCATTGATGCTTGAATCATAAGACCCAGACACACTCAAGTGGGTCTTAAACTTATACTTATCATTGGAAATGATTTTAACATAATTTGGAGAGGATTCAATACCTTCTTCTTCTTTTTCATCCGATTGTTCACTTTCAGTTTCTTCACTTTGTTCCTCTCTACTTGATTCATCTCCATGACTCTCACCATCTTTTTTCTCTTCACTTGAATTTTCGTTGCTATTTTCATCACTTTTTTCTTCACCTGATAGGTCACTGTTATTCTTACTATTTTTTTCATCACTTTTTTCTTCTCCAGCTGGTTGTCCACCGATACTTTGAAGTGTTGTGGTACCTCTTTTTCTAGCAGCAGTTAAGCTCTCAACATTTTCTTTAGCATTTGGATTGGATGAAGATGTTCCAGTTCTCTTCCTCTTATATTGAAGCATTATAACTACACTAAAATAGTTAAAAGTTAGTAAATAGTAAGAAATTAACTGAATATGATCAACAAAAAAGGAGCAATAGTGGTACATTATAGATCAATAATTAAATTATTTGTCCTACAACTAATCAGTTGACCAACAATTAAACAAAATTGTCTAACAACTGCAGTAGTTGTTGGGACAACTTCTGAATCGTTGGAAAACTACAGGAAGTTGTTGGACAATTTCTGTATTAACAAAAATATAAAGTTATTTCTATAAACAACTTCAGTAGT